ACGCCCGGCCTCATTGAGGCGCGGCTTGCCGGGGATTGGGAAGAGTGCATATGCGCTGGAGACTTTGCCGCTCGGGTTGAGACGTGAACGCACAAATCGTGTCCCGCTCGGTGTTCAAGCTGAACAAAACAGGACGCGGGCGAAAGAAGGAAAAGACGCTGCGAAAGAAAAATCACCCTGGGCAGCCACGACTCCTGTCTCTCCTTGTCTGGAACCACTGCCATCTCTCCGCCACCGGTCGTGTCGCCGCAAGAAGAGGCGCTCGATGAGACCCTTTGAAGCGGAAGAAGAGGCGCTGGCGCAGATGGTGCACATCTGTGCGCAGGAGGAGTTCCTGAAAGCCTATCGAGGTCAGCTGCTTGCGATGCATTTTCTTTTCTTTTTCTTCTGATCAGAGCAGCTTCACACATTTCGCAGGTTTCATGGGTTGGAGTGAGACTGAAAACAAACACACGCCGTACTAGTGACGAATGGGTCATTTCTCAATGCTTTTCGTGGAAGAGAGAGAGAGAGAGAGAGATAGGAGTTTGTACTGAAGCACTTCAGCTTGACTTACTCAATGCGCATGAACTCCCGTCTTGGCAAGGGGAAGTTGCAAAACAACTACTGTACTGTATATAGAAGTTGCGTTCCACAGCAGACAGCCAAGTGTGCCTGACAATGGTGCTCCCTGTGTATACACCAAGATTACACCCGGAGGACAAGGCCCTGGGATGGCCATGTAGATCAGAACACGAAGGCCTTGTAGAGAACCCTGAGCTGACGCGGATGCTGGGTCAAAGCTAAGCAATTTCCGGCAGTGATCAATCATGCACGGGATACTGATTGACCCAAATGGATCTCTGATCGGAGCAACCTCAGAATACTGGTAGGTAGATGAAGACTTTCGACATTGGCTTTCTTGCTGAGCGGGACAGACCCCCAAACAAGAAAGGAAGGTCTTGTTCCCAGGGTCTGCGTATCTTTCAGTCACTTGAGGGTCATCAAGGAACAGATGCTCAAACGGTAACGGCAACGGTTTTCTGTTCCGCGTCTCGTTCTGCCAGACACCGACTTCCTTTTCACGGACCGGGTTTTGGAGCGGACCGGGGGCCCTCCACGCGTCACGCGGAACAACGAGGTGAAGAAGCTCAACTGGAGAAAGCATTGCAACGCAACGAGCTTCGAGCGCTTTTGGCCATGGAAGCCCAGATTGATCCAGCACCCTGGAGGCAGCAGAGTCAGCGGAATGGAGCGGAATGGGGATGGGCAAGCCTTTCAGTTGTTTGTACTCTCAACCTGCTATATAGTAGCTGTACAGTATATCTGGTAGCTGATGACAAGTCCTGTTCCACCGCTTTGAAGGTAGCCAAGGGGCCGCTTGACCTGGACTGGCCTGGTATCCGATGGTCCGAGACCGAAATTTCATCCTCCTACTCTGCTGCAGGGTGATTGCAGCGGAAAGTTAGGAGACTTCAGAAAGAACGTCGGTTACCGTCGGTTCCTTCTTTCGTTCCAATGAGCCCTTGGCAGGGAATGAATGATAACCTTTCCTGCCTCCCGTCTCCCATGCTGGTCTCAAGCTCCTACGATCCGGTCCAACCATTGCACGCTGTTCTCCAGTAGTTCACACCAAAGTAGCTCGTGCTTCATGAACGTTCGTCTGAGTTTTGATCCGCATGCGTGCCATTTCATATCTACAACCTGAGTGAATTCACCAACAACTGGCTTGACTGGCTCACAACAGGGCGATCGATCTCTGACTCTTTGAGGTCTTCATCGATTGCCCGAACCTTCGTCTCTGGGAGACTCGAAGTTCGAAGCGCTTATTGGGTGGGCTTCTTCTCCCTTCGTTCCTGGCTGGGTGAAACTTTTGGAGGGAATAGACAGAGAGAGACAGAGGGAGAGAGAGAGAGAGAGAGAGAGCGAGCGGCCATTCCTTTTTGCATTGCGAGCTTATCGCGGCCCGCTATTTCTCTATCAGCCAGCCAGCCGGCCGGCCGGCTGGCCAAGAACCACGGTCCAGCTGGCCGGCCTACTACTACTACCACTACTACCACTACTACTACTACAACTACTACTACTACATGGCCGGCCGCTATTTGGCCAGCTGGCCGGCCGGCTGCCGGCGAAATAGCAGGCCGGGTTGCCCGCGCTGTCCCTGTTTGGTACATACTCAACAAGAGGTTCTTGACGAAGCCCAGTCACTGCGACTCCTGAAGAGCAGGCTTCGTGACAATAAGAGGTCTCGGAAAGAATGAGACCGCTTCGGAAATCCGAAGAGTCGAACGTATTTTCGTCGATATAAAGAGGGACCCATTTTGGTATATACCCTTTGATTTGCTGGAGGTATTCAGGAGCTTTCCCTGCTGTTAGCGTTTCATGTGGCCTGCGGACAGTGGGATGACATACTGTCACTGAAATTCCAGCGTTTATTTTTTCTGGAACAATAGAGTTTGGCTTATATAATCCTGAACTGGGTGTTTGAGTGTCTCCAAATGTTGGATTCAACTCCACAATTCAACTCTTCCAAGGCGTCTTCCAGCTAATCAAAACGTCTCCCAAGGTTTTGATGGCAATTGTCGAACGTCCATTCTTTTCGAAGGTTCGAAGGACCCAAGGCACCCCAAAAAGAGACACTCTGTCCTGGTGGCGAGAGTGTCCGGGTTTGTGGACCTACTGTCCTGTCGTGTGGTCCGTGGTGGACGTGCGACCCCATGCCGGACTTCAGACCCCATGCCGCATCGGTGCCAACAGAAGTAGTGCCGACTCCGTGGGGGTTCCTCTTTTAGGTCAAACACCATTTCAGCTTTACTGAGGAGATGAAACCTTACTTGCTGCTGGCTGAGCGCTTGGGCTACGAAGTGCATGTGGTTGAGCCCTGGGAGATCTGTACAAAGCATCTGGGACCGGATCCAAGAGCCTGGAAGATAGATGATGGCGCCATCTGTAAAGACGATGAGGCTTTCAAACCAAGACATTCAGATCTTATTAAGATCTCTACAGTCTGGAGCAGTCGTTGTGCAGTATGGAGGGGCCTGAGTTGCGTGAACGATTTTTTTGGAGATCAGACAAAGCTGGGACAGTGTGAGCAAATCCCATAGCTTCCGATTGCACGAGTTGCCTGACTTTGTGCACTTTCCGGCTGGTTCGCTTGATTTGTTTGGGTCTGGGCCTTGGTCCTCATCGTTTAGGGTTGCCCATCTCCAGGTAAGCTGCCTGGAAACTGTATTCTGCATATTCAGCTCTTCTAGCTGGTGCGACAAGTCAATTGAAGCAGTCTTTCAGGGTCACAGTCACGGTATGTCACGGTCTAGCTCAGCAGAGTAGTGTTTGCTTGGTGTTTGACTCGAACACCATCGAACACCGCGGCCCATGAGAGATTATGATCTTCAGTATCTTGCCCCGACCATACAACTCAGGATCACGCATTTGTTTAAACAAGAACACCTTCCCCAACTGGCTACAGTTCCTTGCGGATCAGTTCAGATCCAATCCACACCGAGGCATTCAGATCTGGGCTTCTTGTCCAGCGTGCATCGGACAGCTGCGCGCAGAGAAAGGAGGACCATGCTGAGCCCGCGACAGCTGCAGGGCTTCCTGAAGGCCTTTGAGACCTGGCGACAGCTAGAGAGGGATCAATGAGAAGTGTTTTCGTGCTTTTTGGTTCTGAAGTCTTCTGAAGTTGTCAAGTGGTAGTTAGTAGTTGCCCCTGTTTTGTGTACTGTTGCTGCTGCTGCTGCTGCTGCTGGTGGTGCTGGTGGTGCTGGTGCTGGTGCTATCAGTTGTTTCCATATTTTTTAAACTATAGTTACTGCAATGATCTCTCTCTCTCTCTCTCTTGTATTTTCCCTGCATGGCACATGAAACAATGGTTTCATCACTGGCGATCTGATGCAAGGAAGCCTTGCCGACCGATGAGCCATTGGAGGCCGTTGAACAGAGGGATGTGGATGACCGCCTGGATTTGTACCGAGAACAGGTGCAATGGGTCCAGCTATTTTGGGAGATTTGTTATGGTCTGTTTTTATTTGGTTTCCGTAGGCTGACGTGACTTGGGTCTATGCCTGCCTCCTCAGAAGCTATGTAGATCCACAGCGCCGTAGGCCATGGGGATTAGTTTGGGATTTGATACCTTGTGCTTGGGTGTAGGAGGGGCGCAAGGTTCCCTGTGGCTTCAGCGATTGAGCAAACCTGTCCTTAGGTCGCCTGCCGGTCGGTTGTGCGAGTTGTCAAGTCCAGCCTGGTTGGCATGATGGTCAGCCAAGACACACATTTTGCAATTGTTTTCCTTCTCCAGGATAGCCAGGATAACCTGAAGCCATGTGATGCGTCGTACGCAAGCAACACTCTCAAAACTGGCTCAGTCATCCCAAGCTCTGGTGAACCTAGTTTTGTGTCTGTTTGTGCCAGCTAGTCTGACCTGGCAAGAAATGAAGATGCGTTCTGAAGAGGCCAACCCTTCCCTGAATCATGTGCCAACCTGGGTCAAACCCTCACCTCGACTCCTTCCCTCGGATTTTTGGCACGCAGCACGGAGGCGATCCGAAGGGCGCCCTCGGGAGCTGGGCAGTTCGTGCGATGAGAGAAAAAGACATCGCTTTCGTCGGTTTCGGTGGTTGGGGTGCCCCAGATGGGGGCGGCTCCATCTCGCTGCGGAGTGATTCTAATTGGATTCCGATAGGTTCATTTGGACCGGGGGGGAAGACCTGGGAACACATGTGTAAAATCGGACATTTGACACAAGACATGTATCAGACGGATCAGATGTATCAGAGGTCCAGATCCTTTGGTCTTAATGGATCAGAAGCCATGTTGGTTGCCCGCAATGATACTGGGACACTGGGTGCCTATCATCACAAAACAACGGTGACAGTTCACCGCGCCCGGCTGAGTAGTTGACCTCACTGCTTAACAGCCTCCGTTTCGGAAAGCGCCACTTTTTCCAATGGGATGGCAAATGTGAAGCGATGCACGCCGATGGCAAACGCCGGGACGTAGAGGGCGGTCGTCGCTCTCAGGTGGGATCTCTTCATCGGCGCGCTGATCGTTTATTCGGCCCGGACACCGAAGCGATCGGTGGGTTTCTTGGATGTTTTTCTTCGGGAGGACAGGAATAGGCAAAGCAGCTTGTCCAGCAATAGACCAGCATGGAACAAACCTGGGTGGTTCCGGAATCAAGTTGGGGTTTCACCTACTTGTACCAAGCCATATAATTAAATAACTTGATGTCCTTACCCATAGAGGTCTGGGACTTGTGGGGGCTTGGTGAGACGAGCAAGTCTTTTGCGGTTGTGAAGCCAAGCATTTTCATGTCACTGTGCCCCCTTGACTGGACAGAGGCCTACTTAGGGCTGTATAGTTGCTCGTGCTCTTGTCGGACGGTCAGCAGTCGATGGTCGGAGCTTTGGAGGAGATTTGTCTCCATGTCAGCCTTCACTGGGTACGTTTTCCCTGAAAGAATCATGGTTATGTGACGTGGATGGCACCATCTGATTGGTCGGAAAAGAATCATCACTCTCCCTTGTCTGGGGCCATGGCAGTCACTGGTTGGACTTCTCAGGTCATTGCTATCACCTACTCGGTGTCCTTCACCGCGCCGCCGGCCGGGGCGCTTAGGCTTAGCACGGGCTAAGGGGTCCCCGAGGCGGTCTGTCCGGACTTAAGGAGGTGAAGCGATCGGAGACCTGCAGAGGTTGGGTTTTTGTGGCGATTTCGGCGGTCTGGCGACAGAGCTGAACCTGTGGGGCGTCATGATCGCCATGCTGATGAAAATGATGGTTCCAGATGAATCATCTGCAGTTCGGAGACGTTGAACTGAGTTGAAAATCGCCGATCTTTTGATTCCTAAGCATCTCAAAGGATGGAGAAGCTTTCTCAAATAACTATGCACTTCAAAAGGGCGACCTACGCCACGCAACGCCATTGGAGGCATACTGTTGACCAGTGCTACCTACGACCTACGCGAACCAAGATATTTTTACTGAATCTACTGCCAATCCCAGTGGATCCTAGTTAGCACTAGGGTTTTAGTCCCGGTCTACTAGTTTAGTCTTTGGAATACCACTGCTTACTGACTCTGATGATAACTGGATCCACTGGGAACGTCGGCATTTGCCGTTCCAACTTGTTTGCGGGGTAAAACTTGCCTGAACATGAAGGTACAACCCGTGAAACACATAAGCAGGGTTGTTCCATGGGCGCGGATTGCTTGCAATTTGTGTGTCTGAGGCGACGGTCCACCTGTCCCCGTCTCAACTAGGGTTTCAACCGGTCACGTCATGTCACCGTTGTGAACGTGAACGTCTCGGGGGCCCCTCTCCGACTCTCCGTCCTCAACGGACGTCCTTTTCCGCGAGAAACAACGGCAGGGTGACACCTCAGACTCAGACTGAGTCTATTTTGAGACAGCGAGATGGCTCTGCCACCGTGGCACAGTCTCAAAATAGGGAGCACCCGCCGCGTGGGTCCCCCGGTATCCCTTGACCTTTCATCCGATTGCCGCTGGGTCTCCCTGCACCCTGCGCTCGGCATCCCCTGAGGCTCCCTTCTTTGTGGCCGTCGACGTGCGACGCCCCGGCGACCGAAGTCGTGGGACCAAAACGGACGCCACCGGAACCGTCGTTTCCGGACCCGAGATGCAGTCGCAAAGGGTTCAAAAGCGGCGCTGTTTTGAGCCTTTTGAGCCCATGATGCAGCATCCTCAGCATCGAGATGCATCTAGCATCTGCAGCCTTGCTGGTCTTGCTTGACCCAGATTTCTTCCACCAGGTGTAATTAGCACCATTGACCCTTTCGACAGAAAGGATCTGGACCGATTTTATCGACTCGCGTGACATGCACTCCATTTCAAGAACCCATTTCATGTTCTGTATTTTAAAGTTCAAGAACTCCATCGAACTCGTTTTCGTTCATCCGAAGAGCCGACACACGTGGAGACCTCTTTTTGCTCCAAATCCCTCGGCGCCCAAAATGGCGCCCAAGAAGACCTCGTCTCCGCTGAAGAGCGCCGGTGGGGCAGTGGTGGCACCCAAAGGGGTGCCTCGGCTGAAGGGGCCGAGGGAGGTGGTCCAACTGGGTGCTTCTTGGAGGTCTTGGTGAATTGGCTGATCTCAGAGTTTCAGGTGAGGTTTTCAGGTGATTTTGGTCGTTTACAGTAGATTCCTTTTTCATCCTTTCTCCACCTTTTCAACTTCTTTATTGGGTTTATCCTGCAGGTAGCTAGTTTTTTTGGGAGGCGTTTTCCTTGCTCCTTGGGGTCACCTGGAATGCAAGGAGTCCAAAGCTGAGCCGAAAGCAGCACCCAAAGCGGAGCCGAAGGCAGCGCCCAAAGCTGAGCCGAAAGCAGAGCCCAAACCCAAAGCCGAGCCTAAAGCGTCGGCACCAGAGGCAGAGGCCGGAGGGAGCTCGGGATTTTGTAACGGGTCTGGTAGAGGCGTTGATTTCCAAAGCCATGTCGGATCATAGCTTCATTTTGTGGAAGGCCAAGGGTGTCACAGATGGCAAACTTTAAGGAGCGGTGTGCAAGCCATTTGCAATGGAACTCACCAACAGGAGCCAAATGGACTACAGTACTCCTCGGGATGTTAAGCTATACTTTGGTGTTGACCCACACCCAGATGGCTTGGGTGGAGGTTGTACGCCAACAACTCCGTCCGGCTTTCTGGCTGGCAAACAATTCCGTCTCCCCGCTGAACTTCGCACCTCCAGAGGAGAAGGAAGCTCCAAAGGAGGTTCCACCCGAATGGCCCAAGAAAATTGACTTCAAGGAGTTGCCTGGTCCAATGATCTGCCGCCTCGTTGCGGCGGTACTACCCTGGGTGATAGCGATGCAACGGGAGGATAGTTGGTAGACGTCACCAGTGAAGGTGTTGGTAGGTAACAGGTAACAGCCCCTGGGAATAGGAAGAGTTGACGATCATCCATTGGTTGGGGTTCCATGCCTAGACAGACCCAATTCTACCCAACGGATTCATCTACACCAGCAGAGGCGATATCTAGGATGCAGGATGTTTTCCAGCTGTTGCTCATAGTCTCCTCGATAATCTCGATAGGTTCTGTGTTTGAAGCTGCGCACTGTAGCCGGGAACTACTGTACTTGCATGGTTCCCAGTAACACGTCAGGATTTGGCATTATATTTATACAAGTGTTATATACAAGGTTGTGTTCCTGAAAGCACACGATCGTATTTTTCAGTTTTAGGGAAGTGTGCAAATGAAAGCCACACAGAGGTATTTCTGTAACATCCACGAGGGTCTTTCGACGGCAGAACACGGGCCAACAAAAACAGCCATGTTTGGCCAACTTTGAGACACCTTCTTTTTGAACACAACACATAAATCGCTTCAGCGATCTGACTTTGCGGTCTGCCCTGTCCAAAATGAGAACATGTGGAGGTGAGCCATTAACAAATCATGAGTGGCAAGCACTGCAAGCAACAGGGGCTTCAATGTTGGGATCAAGCGAAACTTGCGGAAACAACGGGTTTTTGTCATTGTGCGTATCTCTGCTCCATCGTGACTTCCACAGTAGACATGACAGCATCTGCAACCCCACGCTGCTTTGAAGAAGTGCTCAACTTTGCGCAATGCGAAGCATATCGAGACATGCTCCAAATTCCCAATGTCAGCAAGACCCAAAGAACCCAGCGGCAAAGGCGGGCCCTAAGTGCCTGTAATCCTCGAGGCAGGCAGTAGTGTCGTGAAATCTGCAGCAGAACCAGCACCCAAGCTCCCAAGCGCACCCTGCAGCGGCACCCAACCTCTCAACTGCACACAGCAGCGGCACCCTACAGCGGCACCAGCATGCAAGCTCGAAAGCACAAACATGCAGCTCTTCCTATACTGCACGGCTCCTTGCACGCCCAGATTGGGCTAGAGCTCTGCTAGAGCTCTGTAGGCTCTGTAGTGTGCAGGCCCGAGGGTCCGGAGGAGGGGTAGATTAATCTAGCCGGCACACATAGGCTGGGAAAGTGCAGGCGGCAAGCTAGACCAATGCATGATACCTCACAAAACGCGATGCATCGCCAGCCCACAAAAGCCAGGCAGGAAAGTAGCCCCCACACTGAAAGCCAGGCAGGAAAGTAGCCACCGCATGAAACCAAGCAGGAAAGTAGCCACCACGCTGACTCATGCGTCGGAGGAAATTATATACAGCAATTCAGGATCTTGATTATCAATTGAGGGGTGCGCAACCTCTCCACAACCTCTTGTTTATTTCTACACAAGGAGCATGCTAATTAATTTCATTCCCCGAATTAGGTTTCCACCACAATGTCCGACAAATTGTGGGAGAAGAACGAATATTTGATAACTTTTAACTGCTGGGCCGCCCCCCTCAATTAATGAGCTACTGGGGTTAGAGCTGCATGTGTGCGTTTGCCAACTTGGGTGCTGGTGCTGCTGCAGGGTGTCGCTTCTCTCTCTCTCTCTCTCTCTCGCGCTCGCTATGGCGAGGAGCTAAGCCGAGAGCGCTAAGCCGAGAACCCAACTCACTCACTCGCTCACCCCCACCCCACACCCCTCCACTCCACACTCCACACTCCTCCACTCCACACTCCACACTCCTCCACTCCACTCTCCCCTCCACTCCACTTCACTCTCCACTCCACTCCACTCCACTCCACTCCACTCCACTCTCCACTCCACTCTCCACTCCACTCTCCACTCCACTCTCCACTCCACTCTCCACT